CCCTAATGTGGACCCGACCTGCACTCGTTGTAAACAAAGTGCAGCGACTTTGTCACACATGTTTTGGTCCTGTCCGAATTTGCACATATTTTGGTCAGAAATTTTTGACACTTTCTCACATATATGTAAAAGACGGATAGACCCAGATCCAATTACTGCAGTATTTGGGGTAGTTCGAGTAAACGGGCTCTCCAATGGTCAGTGTCAAATGATAGCATTCTCCTCATTGCTGGCTCGCCGTTTGATTCTTTCAAATTGGAAGTCTCCACAGGTTCCTAAACACTCGCACTGGGTGAAGGAGACAATGTCATTCCTCCAGCTTGAAAAGATTAGAACTATTGTACAAAATGAAAAATTCAAAATTATATGGCAACCTTTTCTGGATTACTATGAGGATGTATTTGATGCAAATGTACTAGAGTAAGAGCCCACTCTCTTCTTTTCTCTTCTCTTGCTTTTCTTCTTTCTCTTCTTTCTTCCTCGTCTTTATTTGGGGGGGGGGGGGGGGGGTATATTTTGTTTGTGGTTGTTGTTTTGTTTTGTTTTTTCTTTCAAGTACTAAAATACCAATGTCTGGGCATGACTATGGGATGGAAATCGCATTAAGACTAAGTGAATGTATTGAATGCATATTCCCATGTTGATTTGTACTTTTTCTATGTTTAAAATAATAAAAACATTTTGAAATAAAATAAAAATCCCTGAGGTCATTTTGATGGTACATGTGTTTAGACGATGTGGAGTGATATGAAGGCCAATCTGTGAAACGGCTGAGGAGTCGCCGCTTTCCAACCGACATGTGTGAAAAGGATCATTTTTCAATTTTCCATTTTGCAGTAAAATTTATGAGCTTCCTGTTTGTCAAGGGGCGTGACCATAATAACTTTGTTTTCATGTCTTGACTTGGGGAATATGTGTACCAAATTTCATGGCTCTACGACAATTTTGACCTCCAACTCCTCCCATAGGCGTTTTTAAATTGGCTTTTGTAGGTGGCGCTAATGAGCCAATTTCAAAATGTTTACTTTCAAATGACCTAAACCTTAGAGTTAAACCATGGATTCAAGTTTTGTGCAAATCAGACTTTGTTTGTGCAAACGGCAGCAATTTTTCTATTGTCAAAAACTGAAAAAAATACGCCACTTTTTGGCGCTCCGCTGCTGGAACAACGTTTCACTGATCAAAATAGGCTGAAATCAAAATGACAGTAGATGTGTTTAGACGATGTGGAGCGATTTTGAGGCAAATCGGTGAATCGGCCGAGGAGGAGTCGCTTTCCAACCTCACTGGAAACTTCCATTAAGTGTGAAAAGGATCATTTTTCCATTTTGAAGTGTAATTTATGGGCTTCCTGTTTGTCAGGGGGCTTGGCCATAAAAACTTTAAGTTCATGTCCTGAGTTGGGGAACATGTGTACCAAATTTCATGGCTATACGACAAACTTGACCTCGAACCCCTCCTATACTAAAAACGTTGACCCCATCTGTAGGGGGTGCTAATGAGCCAAATTCATTTATTTGACTTTCAAATACAATACACAATACAATACAATACAATACAATTTATTCTTGTATAGCCCTAGGTCACAACAGAAGTCATCTCAGAGGACTTAACAAAACCATTGAAATCACCAACACAGGTTAAACACATGAAAAATATAAAGCACACACAGAAGAAAATGTCCATACATGTTGTAGAATGCTAAAGTGTCCTGATCATCACCAATCCTTTCTGTTGGACACTAACTGTCCAACAAGACCCTCCTGCATCGACAAGGACAAACTCTTAAAAAACCCAGTGGGAAAAAGTGAGAAACCTTGGGGAGAACTAGGGAAACCCACAGGGAGGGAGACCCATTTGAGAAAGGGATCCGCTCCTCCGGACGGACAGGCTAATGATCTAGGACCTAAGCTAGCTACAGAACGTGGACCAGTGGCCGCTGAACGTGGACAGGTCCGGTGCAGGACTGAAGCACTCCCAGGCGGGGCAGTCCGCAGGCGTAGGTGGAGGAGGCCAGGCTCAGAGATCCCGTCATCGTACCATGAAACAGACAATGGGACAACGGGTGAATAGCAATGAACAAACTACAGTCAAAATCCTAAAAATGCTAAACAGATAAAGTAGGAAGGAGGAGAGGGTAGTGCTCAAGTTACCATACTTCCCCCAGCAAACTGACTCCCTATGCAGCTTGACTGACAGTCTGAGGAGTTTAGCCTTCCCTGAGTCTTACCTTCCTAGCCTTATGCTAAACTAAAGAGGACTGTTTTAAACCTAGCCTTGAATAAAGAGAGCGTATCTGAAAGAAGGTGAGACAACAGCATGACAAATGACCTAGACCCTAGAGTTGAGGCGAACCAGTGAAACGGCCGAGGAGGAGATAGTTTCCATGTATGAAAACTATTGCTGTTTATTTTTCCATTTTGCAGTGAAATTTATGGGCTTCCTGTTTGTCAGAGGGCGCGGCCATGATAATATTTTTTTCATGTCTTGACTAGAGGAACATGTGTGCCGAATTTCATGGCTCTACGAGAAACTGAACTTTCAAAAAGTCCCATAGGGGTATTTTTTTGGCTGTTGTAGGTGGCGCTGTTCTGGCATTTTTTGAGTCCCATAAAAATAAACACCAAAATATCAGGTCTGATTTTTGTGCAAAATTTAACAACTTTTCATGCATGTTCAGGGGGTCAAATTAAGGCTCAAAGTGCAGAAGAAAAAAGAAAGAAATCAATGGCACGTGATTCATGATTTTAAAGCGTTTGAGTTTACGCACGCACCCGTCACGTCGGGGTGAGTGACGGGCGCTGACGCTTCAGTCACGCACCGCCACCATTTGCATTCACCATTGTGAAAGCAACAGGCCCTTACCCCGTTCGGGGCTCTGGCCTAATAAGGATTTTTTTTTTCAACGTCTCGAGCAAAAACAATATAGGTTTCAATGGCACGTGATACATAATTTTAAAGCGTTTGAGGTTACGCACGCAACCGTCACGTCGGGGTGAGCCCCACCTTTGCATTCACCATTGTGAAAGCCTATTCACAATGGTGAAGCCTTTATATATTAAAGCAATTGGTTATAAGCATCTGTAGGCGAAAAAGAAGTACAATTTCCCTTAAGTAATCCCATATTTCTCTTTAATCATTTTGTTTTTCGTAGTGTTGGTGGTTTCTGTGGTTCATAGCTATTATTTTGATTCCCATAAAGAATAAATTCATTAGAACTGTGTGGTACTGTAAAATTTGTCAAAACAGGGCTGCGGCATGAAGACTCCTTGTGTTTTTTTATATAAATATTTTTATTGATGAAGATAGAAAATAAAAGAGGTCCAAGGGTTGAGTCCTGTGGTACCCCTTTTTCCATGATAGAGAGACCAGTTTGAGAACCATTAAAAACTACAAACTGTCGTCTATTGTGAAGAGCATTTCTACTGAAACCAATTGAGTAGAGTTTGTCCAAAGTAAATAGTGGTCTACTAGATAAAAAGCCTTGGAGAGATCAAGAAAAATGCCACCTGTGTACTGGTTATTATCAAAGGAAGGGAAAAGGAAGGGACAGAGGCTGAGGATGTTGGGGCGGATGCTTTCATCTCCCTGGCTGAAGTCACAAAGGTGGTTGGCAGACTCCTTGGTGGCAAGGCTCCGGGAGTGGATGAGCTCCGTCCTGACTATCTAAACTCTCTGGATGTTGTAGGACTGTCTTGGCTGACACGTCTCTGCAACATCGCGTGGCACTCGGGGGCGGTACCAATGGAGTGGCAGACCAGGGTGGTGGTCCCTCTCTACAAAAAGGGGGACCGGACCGGACCAGAGGGTGTGTTCCAATTATCGTGGGATCACACTCCTCAGCCGCCCCGGTAAGGTCTACTCCAAGGTACTGGAGAGGAGACATCGACCGATGGTTGAATCTTGGGTTTCAGGAGGAGCAGTGTGGTTTTCGTCCCGGCCGCAGAACACTGGACCAGCTCTATACTCTCCATCGGATACTCGAGGGTTCATGGGAGTTCACCCAACCTGTCCACATGTGCTTTGTGGATCTGGAGAAGGCGTTCGACCGTGTTCCCCGGTGTGTCCTTTGGGGGGTTCTCTGCCAGAGCTGCGTTTGCATTGCCGGCAGTAAGTCAGACCTGTTCCCGGTGCATGTTGTTCTGTTCACTGTCTTTATGGACAGAATTTCTAGGCGCAGCCAGGGGTCGGAGGGGGTCTGGTTTGGAGAACACAGGATTTCATCTCTGCTGTTTGTGGATGATGTTGTCCTGTTGGCTCCAACGAACCAGGACCTGCAAAATGCACTGGGACGGTTTGCAGCTGAGTGTGAAGCAGCTGGGATGAGAATCAGCACCTCCAAATCCGAAGCCATGGTGCTCGACCGGAAAAAGGTGCAGTGCCCCCTCCAAGTGGGTGGAGATGTTCTTGTTCAAGTATCTTGGGGTCTCGTTCGAACACTTCTCTCGGGAGGTGTTCCGGGCGCGTCCCATCAGAAGGCACCCCCTGGGAAGACCCAGGAATCTCTGGAAGGGCTATGTATCTCAGCTGGCCTGGGAACGCCTTGGGGTCCCCCCGGACGAGCTGGAGGTCACGGGTGACTTTGTTATTTGACTCTTGACCTGCGCATGCGCAAGGATGATCATCCAGTGCTTCAGCACCGCCTCTGGCGGTCAGGAAGGATTAAATAGAACACAAGATTTGTCATCTTTTTAAGAAAACGTTCTATTGGAAGGAGAAATAAATTGCAACTATGTTTGAAACTAGACTAAACTGCTTGTCCCATTTGGGACATTTTTTAAAGGCAGTCAAAATGTACTCAATTTAAGCTTTCCTGACCCTATTATTTATCATGTTTGCAGTTTAGAATAGAGCACCATAAATTATTTTTGTTTTATTTTTTTTATTTACTTTATTGTTGTCCTTATGAATATGTGTGTGTTGTGAAGCAGAATGCTCATGAAAGAGTCTCTTTTGAGCCCTCCGTGTTCAGAATAATGCAGTGTTCATGATGTTCACAGGGGGCTCTGCACCTGAACGATACCATCGTGCCCCAACCCCCGCTCCTGCACCTGTCTGCGGAGAGGATAACCCAAGACGGGGCCTTTCTCCTGGACTGTGGCTCCGTGAGTATTTCTGCTGTTGCTAAAAGCACGCTATTGCAATGTTAGTATATTATCCTATGAATTTCGGGATTTCTTAGTAATACATGTATCTATACAGATGTGTGAACATCTCAACCAACATGAATTAATTATGAATATCCTATAAACAGACTGATGCTGGCTTCAGGTTGGAACGACTGGTCTGAATGGGCCACTTACAGTGCATTGCGAAAGTATGAACCTTTCAACATTTCGCCACATTTCAGGCTTCAAACATAAAGATAGAAAAATTGAATTTTTTGTCAAGAAACAAGTGGGACACAATCGTGAAGTGGAACAAAATTTATTGGATAATTTAAACTTTTTTAACAAATAAAAAACTGAAAAGTGGGGCGCGCAATATTATTCGGCCCCCTTGCGCTAATACTTTGTAGCGCCACCTTTTGCTGCAATTACAGCTGCAAGTCGCTTGGGGTATGTCTCTATCAGTTTTGCACATCGAGAGACTGGAATTCTTGCCCATTCTTCCTTGCAAAATAGCTCGAGCTCAGTGAGGTTGGATGGAGAGCGTTTGTGAACAGCAGTCTTCAGCTCTTTCCACAGATTCTCGATTGGATTCAGGTCTGGACTTTGACTTGGCCATTCTAACACCTGGATACGTCTATTTGTGAACCATTCCATTGTAGATTTGGCTTTATGTTTTGGATCATTGTCCTGTTGGAAGATAAATCTTCGTCCCAGTCTCAGGTCTTTTGCAGACTCCAACAGGTTTTCTTCCAGAATGGTCCTGTATTTGGCTCCATCCATCTTCCCATCAATTTTAGCCATCTTCCCTGTCCCTGCTGAAGAAAAGCAGGCCCAAACCATGATGCTGCCACCTCTGCTTTTCAGAGGGTCAGAGCAGAGGGGGATTTCACACCTTTCCCCTCTCGCGGGTGTGAAAGAGAGCCCCCGCTGTGCAGCGTATCTGAGTTGTCCCACTCTGCAGGCTGGATCTGAACACTTACGTTTTCACCCCCCTGGAACACAGTCTTCGTATGAACGCTTGGTAGAAACCGACATCCAACTATACCGTTTTACTGCCACATTGTCTCCGTGTAAACTCAGCCTAAAGGGGACAGGGTGAATATTGGGCGGGTCTAGGCTGTGATTGACACTTGACATCAGCATTGGCTGTGACAAAGATGAAGAGTGATCACAGTGACGCCAGCTCTATAGCTACGCTCTCATCCCAACGATCCATCTAGTTTTATTTGCGATCTGATACATATGCAAACATTATCATGAGCTAGCTATGTTCACCCGGGATTGATTTCTTTGATAATTTTTTCGCTTTAGTTCCCTCTTTTCGTCCTCACTGTGTCGTTTGGGCTGTTTTGCTGTGTCTGCAGTTACACCAGAAGAGCTATTGCCACTTTCTGCTTTCATTCTGCTGTGTTTACCAGCGCTGTAGGACGCGGCCTCTTCGTATCTGCGGCGCTCCTTGTTCTGTGATTGGAGGCGAGCGTGCGTCACGCTAAGTTTCTACTAAGCACTTTTTACGGCCTGAATTAAAGCTGCACTAACTGACTTTGAGAAAAGTTCGAATGTGAACGGTGAGCTCGCTCTCTCTGCTCGCCCTCGCCGCACGGAGCTTTCGCCCTCCACTACCCCCCTCCCCCTCAGCCTACGCTCACATGCTAGCTAATTGTATACGGAGCTCACGTCTCACAATATCGATTGCACATTCGCACGTGGATGGCGTGACCATAGAATGATAGAACCGGGAAGCGCGGAGAGGACGAGACTTTCTTTTGGATGGCTGCTTTCGCAGTGTAAGCAGTAACCGGTAACGAAGACACGGGAAGCTTCAGGTTAACCTCCGCCGCTTGTTTACCTTAGCTGTCTGTGCTAACGAGAGACCTGTAGCTCTTCTCAAGAAAGTGGGGGCCAGTGGTCCGCTGTGATTGGTCACAATCTGGACCCGAAACACATTCTCTTCCTTGTTTCACATGAACTCGATCTAAAATTAAATGACACGCCAGCACAAATCTGAGCTACTTTTTCTTCAAAAGGACGTATATCCCAATGCATTGCATGGATATGGATTGAATTTTCGTAATGATTACAAAAGTCTGAAGAAGATGACAAAGTCTGGGATCGTGTCTTTAATTCAGACAGAAGACATGTTTTATTGTCGATGGTAGAGACAGCACGAGCACGAACACAGATACAATAGAATGCAAGTGTATTATACAGAGCGGAGGCATGGAGACCTCCAATCAGCAGCTGCCACGGTGTGCTTGTAGCTTGGCCTTCAGATAGACACAACAAGGGAAAAGTACTGGCTTCTGCACATTGATAGAATGATGAGTTTAACTTTAACAAAAGTTGCTTCAAAGTGTTATGAAATCTCATATTCCCCCCTCTGGTCATACATTCACGTGTGACCATCAGGATCGATAAACAGCAACATAACATCATATCTCAATACTTCAAAAACTCATAAACTCGGTACTTCAAAAAACTCAGAACTCGGAATACTTCAAAAACTCAGAAAACTCATAAAACATGTTCAGATCTTTCATAAAACTTGTCAACAATCTTCAGTAAAATACCAAACTTCATCAGTCGATGGTTCCAGATATTGCTTTGAAAACAGTCTCTCCCACTTCTCTGTTGATTCTTCAGGCTGCATTTGTGTCGAGCCATGAATTCTTCTGTGACGTGTCTTTCAATCACACGTTTCAGCTTTAGTGTCCAGATTCAGCAATCCAATTGTTCCAAATTATGTCCAAATTCAGAAATCCAATTGTTCCAAATGCAAAAGAGGACGCTGGTGTTGTCCATGTCTCAGCAGCTCACAGCCTGACTGGAATCAGGGGCTGTGCAGATTGTCCATGTGCTGATCCAGATGCATGGTTTCTCTTGAGGTTTTTCAGTTTTGGCTTGAAAAAAAAACACTTTTTGTGTAAAAAAAAAGTCTTCTGTTCTCTAGATGTTACAGACAAGGCCCGCATCCTTCCACCACCTGAAGAAGATGACAAGTCTGGGATCGTGTCTTTAATTCAGACAGAAGACATGTTTTATTGTCGATGGTAGAGACAGCACGAGCACGAACACAGATACAATAGAATGCAAGTATATTATACAGAGCGGAGGCATGGAGACCTCCAATCAGCAGCTGCCACGGTGTGCTTGTAGCTTGGCCTTCAGATAGACACAACAAGGGAAAAGTACTGGCTTCTGCACATTGATAGAATGATGAGTTTAACTTTAACAAAAGTTGCTTCAAAGTGTTATGAAATCTCATAAGTCAGTTAGTGCAGCTTTAATACACAAGCTGAATAAATGAGCTCAAGTTTTCAATTAAATTACAGATTATAATACAACTTGTATGTAGTAATAAGTATTTTTATTTAAACTTTTATGAAAGTTGGCGAAGGAATCATGCGCAAAATGTAGTTTGCAAACACCAGCCTGAGGAGGGAGTTTGCAGTCTTCTCCCAAACCAATTGCGCACAGCCACTGGCCCCTAATTTCTAAGTTCTGAGGAAACCAATGCAAATCTATAGAACTGTGGCACCGCACTACACTACACTTTCTTCCCATCCTTACACACAAGTACAATGAACAATATACAATGAAATTGAACACTAAAAAGTAATACTAACAAAAGTCCTAAGCTATATTCAGCTAACTAATCTAACAATAAAACTAATGACTAAAACTACAATATTCAACAACGCTATTAACACTACACAATTATCTATAATCCAAACAGCTCTGCTAATAAAAATCTACCTAAATGCTATAACTAATCGCAAACCTGTCAAAGAAAACACTCCCTGCTATTCCTTCTCCAATTCGCTACGGGGGCATGAACGAGACAGGGCCGCTTCACGACTGCGCCAATGGTGACGCTAGATTCAAAAGTCAAATGTAGTGAATACAGGTCGCCTGCAGATGGTGCCTCACTCACTGTTTTAGGCAGAAAGTTGATCTTTCAACTATTTTGCACCAAAGTGACAAAATTATGACCAGGATATGTAGACAACAGTATTGGACACTCATTTATACCATTTATTAGCAAAAGTGGATTTGAGGGTGAGTTGTCCTTTAACTTTATGTTTGTGTGCGGTAGGTGCTGTTGCTGTGGGTGGGCCGTGCCTGCTCCAACATGTTTCTGCAAGACGTCCTGGGTGTTTCGGACTATACCTCCTTACCCCCCAGCATGGTGAGTGTTAAGTCCATACTGCACTGGTCGAAACCTGTCTGAGACCATCAACAGACCCAAAGGAGACCAAGACTGAGGCGTCTGAAACATGCTGACTCAGCGATTTGGAAGCCGGATGCAAGAAAGCAGAATTGTGGTTACCCATGTATGAAATATATATGCAGATGCATGTTCCAGTTTCAAGTGCAGATCTCCTCACTGATTCTCTTCCACAAGAGAATCACAATGAACAGATAATAACTGAAGTCACAAGCTGTATCATATTATATGTGTGTAAATCTGTGTCAGTATAGTGACCTGGTGATCACTGTGCTGTTTGTTTCAGAATCACATCCCGGAGTTGGACACTCCTCTGTCAGAGCGCATCAGGGCCTTCCTGGACTGGCTCCAGGAGAACCGCTCCTGCTACTGCTCTCTACTCCTCATAAAGTTAGTCTGTCTGCATTCACTGACTGACTTTAGTTCAGACGTTGTGTTATTGTCCAGTGTTGAAATGGACAACTCACCCACACAGAGCTGCTGTAGGACCACATGTTGTCCACATCAAATTGTCCAGTGCATGCCATATATTCCAATCCATATATTCCGTGAAGAAATGTATGGAGCCTCGAGAAGAGTCGTTTGATGTCTTCTGAAGCGATTGTCAGGGTGGGGGCAGAGCTGATGGGTGGGTAGAGTAGTGGGGGGTGGGGGGAGGTGTCCGGGGCAGCGTCAAAGCTGCTGAAAAACCGGTATAAACGTTCCATACACAGTACTTGCTCTGCGAGTGTGCACTGAGCCTCGCATGCATTCGCGGATGGTGGGATGTAAACAGTGGCAAGAATGAATGAAACGAACTCACGTGGGGAGTAGAACGGCTTGCAATGAATGAAAAAATATTATAATATGTTCAGAAGTTCCTCACTTGTGTAGGAACAGCCAGATACGCATTAAAAGGTAAATACAATACTGTGTTTCATAAAGTCATATCTGTGTCAGATCTTATCTGTCGTGAAATCAGACGTATTGATAATGCGTGTGATGTGGATCATGTCTGCTGCGTCATTTGCATATTGTCCCCTATATCCAGGGGTGTCCCAATTCTTAGGGACAATGTTGTGAGTGCACTCACCACTGGGAAGGCACTTTTCTGGTTAGGGCACTCAAACCTAAGGGTGAGAATTGGGACGGGGCCTTAGTCTAGAATAGGCCACAGAATGTGATGAGGTGAAGTACCATTTTAGCCCAGTTCAACCCAATGACAGTCTGCTGGTGACTGTCATTGGACTGGTGGTCTGCCTGGTTTGAAGAGCCTCATCACACCTTGAAGGACACGTCTGTGTAATTAGATTAGTGCTGTCCAAAGATTACTTTTTTTAATCGCGATCCTTTGCATGAATGTCATAGTTAACTTGGGATTAATCGCAAATTTGTACAAAATCTAGCCTGGCCTTAGCCATCCGTACACTCCGCTCAATCATCATTTCACTGCATGTAACGTCTGGGTCTGGTGCCTATGTTAGCGATTACAATCGGTTGAATTTCAACCGACCAATCAGCAAGCACGGGAGGCAGGTGTTGTAGTTAGTAGTGGGTGACGTCAAGAGTTTGTGCCGAACGGGTCGGTTGTGGTTTGGCAATGGCGAAGAATGTGATAGTAAAGTCATCCGGTCTGGTTCGATCAAGAAATTGAAACCGGAGCAAGAGGAATGTTAAGCAAATGTAATTGCTGCAAAGATTGTGGCGCTACTCCCCACTGGCTCCATTTGTGGCAAAGGAGATGGCTAGGCTAAATGCTAACAACTCACTCATATATGAGTATGGTAAACTCTGATCCAATCGTTTCAATCTGCAAAAGGAGGTAACCCCTCCCACCTGTTAACGGAGCACAATGGAGAAAATCCAGACCTTAGTACGAAATGTTATTTGTACTGTGATGTGGTACGACCAGGCTATACAAAATCATACGGTGTGGAATTGTTTTTTATTGAAAACGTCTGGTGTTATATTTCACTGTCACACTTGATGCAAAATGTCATACAATTCAATTCTGTCAATAAACAGATGTACTGTATACCATGTATAATTGGTAACAAACAGTTTGTTCTTAATTGTTTAGTAGGAGGGTTCCTGTTTCTGGTATCTGTAGTTTTTCACTACAGAAAATATTTATAGTTAATAGTGAAAATATTTTTCAGTATTAACAGTGGCCACAGCTAAAAAAGAAACTACAAGTGAAGTAAGTCAAACAAATGAGTCGTGCAATAAAAAAAAATTACGGAGTTAATTACGGCGTTAAAAACACAATATTTTGGGAGTATTGTTAGGAGTTGAAATCTAACATGTTTATCTGTGCCTTTACAGAGACGATGCTTCGGCTAAAACCTCCTTTTTCCAACATCTGGTGGAGGACAGCTCCGAGTCAGGCCCTTCCTACCATGACTTCCTCCAGCAGATACTACAGCAAGCCTCCAAATGACCCAGCAGTCAAACCAGGACTAATCAGAGCTGAGCTGGGCTGCCCATTGCCTCACTGCCTGGGCTGCAAATCTGAACTCTGTCATCCTCTTTTATATACATGTTATTTATTACTTTTATAGATTTTATTTCAGCTTTTTAAACACGGGAACGTGTAGGGATGGGCGATATGCAATTGGAAACATTATTTGTTCACAATTCCAATTAGTTGACTGTCTGCTACTAAAAGGACACATATTAGGCTACTTTTGTATTGTGATATGCCTTTCAACCGAGCAGGGCAGGATTTAAGCTTTGAATAGCATGTTATTATCCATCCATCCATTTTCTTCCCCTTAATCAATTTCTGGGTCGGGGGGCGGCAGTCAGAGCTGCACCCAATTCACAGAGCACCAGCCCCTCACTGATCCTCCTGCCGGTGGTGAGTCCACAGGAGGATGGTTGCTCTGTCGATGACTGCATAGCCTTGCTCTTTCAGCGGGGGCTGACCTACATATAAGGCTTAAAAGCTGATTAAACTTATCCTAAGTTTAAAATATTTAAGAAGAAGGTCCTTTATTCGTCCCACAATTGGGAAATTTCAGTTTGATGCATACACATACACATACACACATCAAGGCAAGCAACATCACTTCCGCGCTCCTTATAGGCAAAGTGGGTTAAGTGTCTTGCCCAAGGACACAACGACAGCAGACATCAATGGGAGTCGGTGGAGAAGGTCTCGTGGTGGGTTCGAACCCACAACCTTTGGGCACGAAGGCCAGTGCTCTACCAACTGAGCCACATTCACCCCTGCCGTCATAAATGGTTATGCTATATAATATTTAACGGGACATACTAAAAACAAAGTCACTTTTCATATTCTTTAAATATTTTAAACTTAAGGTGAGTTTTAAATTGTAACAAGGGAGTACATTTTCTAATCTTCTGTCAATTAATTCCATAATTTCACACCGAGAACAGAAACACACCTTGATTTCACTTTAGTTCTTGCTTTAGTAGATTCAAAAATAAATACACCTCTGAGATTACAACGGTTTTCTCTTAGTTTGAAGGAGCATGAGATACAATTTGGGATTTTGTTGTTTATTACTCTATAAAGAATCTCTGTTGATCCAGTCACAATTTTAAGCATTATAAATCAAGGTGGCCTCTATTTTAGCTAAACAAACTACAATACACCACACCCGTTTGTTTGGGGATGTCCAGTAAAACACTGAGAAATGTCCCAGGATAAAAAGCGGCATCTGGTCAGGGTTCACCATAGTAGACCACAATCGATTTTGCTTAAAGGACATTCTTATTAGAGAGGGCATGATCACACTTCACAAAGCACATCAAATCCTTCAGGCATATGCACTGCTGAACATATTATTTTCAGCAAGACTGCTCCAGATTTGAGTTCCTGCTGGTCCATATGGCACTACTAACATGAGATTTGCCTTGTTATAAAGTGATTTTTAGTGGAAATGATATGTGTTCTTAAGTGAAAATTTACCCTTATGTAAATACTATTCCGTATCCAGGCTAAAGCAAATAGTTGCTAAAGAAAATAAGAAAGACAGTCTGCTCAATGCTGTCTTTAAAAATATAGCAATCCTTTGTTCTGCATCTATTTAAAGAATTGTTGTTACTTGCATCACTAACAATGCTACCTGGGGTCTGGGCATCTCCTATTGATCAAGTTAGCGACCAACACATTTTTCTCCCATTTGAACCCAAACGCATTGGTAAATTGTTTATGTATCACAGCTTCAAAAAAGAAAACGGGCAATCAAAGTAAACGTGATGGCCGTGATGTGGTGGTAGTTGTCGGAAGAGCCAGTAGGGGGAGCAATGTTGTCCAGGTAAAAAAAAAATCTACCAGTTTTATTAAAAGTGAGTAATTTATGAGGTATTTTCATGTACTTACCAGTTATAAGTGCTAAAACTGGTAAATAAATGTATAATTGAAAAAAAAAAAACACGGATTTGGTATAATGTCACCAAATGCAAACTTCTGGCAATAGCAACTCTGTGTTGCTATTGCCAACAATTGTTACATTTGAATTCTACATTCAAATGAATAACAACTGCTGAGTAACTGCTCTAGGAAATAAAGGGTAGAACTAGTCACATTTCAAAATTAAGATAATTTCATAACTATAATTACATTAATAAACAAAAATGTACATGAGCAGATTGGATTAGTTTTTAAAACTTCAAAGCCCTGAAATTGACTGCTTTTGGAGTTCTAGTCTTAAAGATTATGTAAAATGACCTACAGTACATTTCATTATTGTCCCATGCCTTTGCCTCATGTGTGTCCTTTACACTCTTAGTTGACAATGCCTCTGATCTTCTTTGATTGGCTCCATTCAATTGCCAACCACTAGGAGCTTCAGAGGTGGTTCGCTTGATCATCATCAAGGTGGAGTTGTCTTGGGAGGTCGAAAGCACAACTTACTCCAAACAGCAGCATAACACATGATTCTGACCATATGGCCCAGCCCTATGATGGTCTCCTCTTGACACTGTACTAATTAAAGGGGCTGAACATTATCCCTCACTTTTTAATTTGCGAAGATAACTATCGATGGCAACTGTTTGATCTTTGTTTGATACGCAGGTGAACATTATTTGTGACCCAAGGAAACTGCTCAGACTTTCTCCAACTGCGTTTGTTTCAAGCTGCACGGTAGCTGAGTGGTGACCACTCATGCGTCTCAGCAAGGAGGTCCTGGGTTCAAAACCCGGTCGGAACCAGGCCTTTTTGAGTGGAGTTTGCCTGTTCCCCTCGTGCCGATCCCACACAACTCCAGGATACGTGCGCATTTTTTGGCCTTAACAAGCCATCGTAGGAAGGCTGTGAGGAATTAGCCACGCGTCACAGCTGCCAACGCATGCTACACAACAACAATGAGCCGTGGGCAAACCAAGCAAGCGGACCAAAGGAATTTTCTGGTCTGAATACAGCAGACCCTAAGATTAAGAGATCTTTTATTTGTCCCGCAGTGGGGAAATTTCCGTGTTGCATCACAAGTTATAGACCATTAGGAAAGAGGAGCACACCCCCCTGGTTAAGTGAACAATAGCTGTGCTAATTAAAATAAAACAAAAACTCCAACTCTAGCATCAAATAAGTAAAAAATCTCTATCTTGAAAATTATAAAAGAGGTGTAAAAGTTTAACATTTGGCAATAAGAGGCAACTATAAAGTACTGTGTATTCTAGTGCAAGCAAAGTGTAGTTTTATGTTAGCATCTGTACATTAGCAGCATGAGGCTCTGAGAGACTGAGACACAGGGACTCAGTAAAGTGACAGTGACATGTGGTTATTGCACAGTCTGGTATAAGTTAGGGATATTGCAACGATGAATGACATGTGGGATCAAATTGGCAGTGTTCATTAGTCCTTATTGTTTGTTGTACAGTCTGACAGCACGAAGAAGGAAAGACCTGCGGAACCTCTCCTTCACACATCGAGGATGAATAAGTCTGTCACTGAAGCTGCTCTCCAGAGCGGACAGTGTTCTACAGGGGGTGACAGTCATGGTCCCGCTTAGATATTAGTTTGTCCAGGATCCTCCTGTCCCCCACCTGCTGCACTGTGTCCAGGGAACAGCCCAGGACAGATCTGGACTTCCTGATGACCTTGTCCAGCTTCTTCCTGTCCCTCTCTGTGATGCTGCTGCTCCAGCAGACCACACCGTACAAGATGGCTGATGCCACCACAGAGTCATAGAAGGTCTTCAGGAGTGACCCCTGCACTCCAAAAGACCTGAGCCTCCTCAGCAGGTAGAGTTGACTCTGGCCCTTCTTGAAAAGGGCGTTTGTGTTATGAGTCCAGTCAGGTTTGTGGTTCAGATGAACACCCAGGTAATTGCAAGAGTCCACTCTCTCAATGTCCCTTCCCTGGATGTTCACTGCGGAATTTCACCACCATAGGGCTGTGCATACATGAGCTTTATATATACATTATGACCTTTGTTCAGTAGGCGCCGCTTTAATCCTGACTTCACACTAAACCTTTTCCCCCTCAAGTTATTTTGTTTTAAATTGTGTATCTCGTCAACTGAACATTTTTTCCCTGAACTCGCCTGACCCACATTCCAGCCCCTACAATGAGTCCAGTGTAGTGCGCTTGTTTTGCAAAGCCACATATCTGCATGGAATCCATTGCACAGTGGCTGTCAGCAACTCTCCCACATGTTTCCATCTAAACCTGTGGACTCAAACCATTCCTTCTCCAACGTCAATGTCCACTTTGTACCTGCCCAAGAATTTTATGTGACCATTTATGAAGCGTTGTTAAATAAAAGCGTACGTGTGCCACTTGCCTGTGTGTGCGTGTGTGTAGATAGATCCCCGGAGGATCAGTTGTCCAATAGCAGCACACACAAAAAAAAACACAAAAAAAAATCATTCTAAAAAGCTAACAATAGTAATAATCAGCAACAGCCCGAATTCAGGTCACAGCAGGAGAGATGGAGTAGCCTCTTGGTGGAGTAGGATGGGTCAGAGCAGCAGAGGTGGAGCAGGACGGGTCCGAGCAGCACAGATGGAGTAGCCGCTGGGTGGAGCAGGACGGGTCACAGCAGCAGAGGTGGAGTAGCCTCTGGGTGGAGCAGGACAGGTCAAAAGGTGGAGTAGCCGCTTGGTTCGGACCATTTTCTCTGCTCTAGTCCAAAGTAGAATGCTTAATACTTTAGTATTCCTTGAGTGGATTTTCACCTGTTCCTCTTAATTCGGACCATGGATCCTTTCTGCTTCGGTCTGGACCAGTCTAATACTATGCACACTGCAGGTAGACTCAGGTAGAAAAAAGCAATACAATAAAAATTGTAATGCATAAAGCAAAAACTGTTTCAGAGCTACTTAAGACTTGCTGCTGTTTTCCAGCGTATTCAAAAGTGTGCGTGCGCACCAAACTGTTTCACTGGGCCCTTCATGTGGTTTGAATTCAGCTGGTCTATACAGAGGTAGCCTGGTCTTATCACACAATCATACTAATTTCATTTC